AGTTTATTGGTAGTAATATTGCTTTCCATGTGATCATCATGAAAAAAACCTATAAGATATGTTCATTTGCTTTAACAGGACAAATACCAACATAATAACCATTGAACACCACGACTGTACCTGGTTCTAGAGAAGCTGAAAGACAAAACTTTTTAAACATTCAGACCCCACCACATAGGGGAAATAGCCCCTATATAATCACTAGCTGGCCAAAGGGTGTCCATCTGAGAATACCGATGAAGGTGGTCACAAGGATTTGACCTGGGGAATTAGAGAATTCTTGCAACTGAATTATGGATGCACACATGTTGCTCAGATCACTGGCAAATGACGACTAGGACTGAAATCTCCGAATTTGTAAGTTCAGAGGATTTTCTACCCTAGCACGCACTACAGAACAGGTAGCATGTCTATTAAGAGTTCAGGGAACAGTTAATACTGTAGGCCAGCAGCTATGCTAGGCACTCTCCACCCCTGTCCGCAAAGATCCTGCAGTCCAGAGGGAGAGACAGAAAACCAGATTGACCCAATGTGACATGACTAAGTACTGCTAAGTGTACGAGATGCTTGCGACAAAGAAGAAAACCTTAGCTAAGCCTTGAGGACTGTCAGGGCAGGATTTCTCAGAATTAAAACCCGAGTTGAGTTCTGAAGGATGAAGATGGGGTACCTTAGTAAACAGGGGAGAGGTGGTGATGAAGGCTCAGGGGTGGCGAGATGGGCCTTAGCAAACAGGCATGCAGAGAAATGTTGGGGGGCGAAGGGTGAGGCAGGGGACCCCAGGGCTGGGGCTGAGGCGGGAGGCAGGGGTCAGCCATCCGACTTGAAGCCCAGCACCTGGCACCCAGGAGATGCTAGTGGTGGGATGACAGCCAGGAAGAGAGGAGGAACCTGGGGACATGCGGAACCCACTGCTCATGGAATCCAAGAGAAAGGAAGAAACACAGCTCTCGGGTCTGTCTTGGGCTCAGTGGTCTCAAGGATCTCGAGGTAGGGGTGGCGGAGGTGTGGACGACAAAAGCCGATCCTGTTCAGCTAACTCCTTACTGTTCATTGTGAAGCAGCTTTTCCCTGATCACTAATATCCTGCCCCCACTTACCACGCTGAGATGAACGGACACTCCTGGGTCAGGGATGGGAAGTCTGTGCAGAGTTTCAAGAAGCTCATTCCACTGACTCTCCTGAAAGAAAGAAAAGGCCTACGTCACAAAAGCAAAGCTGAGCCCCGAGTCAGAGACCTGCAGAGAGGTCTGGGCGCACAGTGAGCGGGGGCGCTGGGGAGGCGCTGGCCCCAGCACAGGAACAGGTGTGGTACTTAAGTCGGGTTGGACAAAAGACACTGCTGATGGCTCCATAGAAGAGCCAGATAGATCCTCCCACACCAAGTCTGACATTTTCTATACAGTGAGACACCTACCAGGACCACCTTTTATGGATCATATGCCATAAGCTCTAAGCAAATCTATCCTCTCAACTCCATAGCAACAACTTTTAAGTGCAAACAATCCTAGCTTACAGGGCGGGGGGTGGTGGGCGAAATGACGACACTATAGATCTTGTCTTCCTCATCATTACCCTCAATTAATTTTATTGAGTGTTCACTGCATACACACGGCAATCTCCAATTATGGGAAGTTAAAAATGAACTGCGCACAACAACATGCATTATAGTACGATGGCTGCGCATTTTAATTAGTGAAATGAAATACAAAGCAGCACAAATTATTTGACTGAAAACAGATTCACCTTTAAAATGCTCAAAAGAGCACCGCTTGCAGAGTGATCCAAAAACCACTTCCCGCCCTGTGGAATCTCTGTAGTGATGTAATAGTACTAAGCTTACATTTGTGTCCATTTGTTATCTGTTTGATCCTCACAACTACCCCACTTTACAGATTGAAAACTGAGGTCTGGTGAGTGAAGCTCAAATCAGCAAGTCAGTAAATGGCTCCGCTTTCTGTGTTCAAGCCCAGAGCCCTCTCCGCTGCTCGGCAGCTGCTTTTGAAAGTGAATTTAAAGGAGAAGAAAAAGAGGATGAGCCCCGATTAAAAGCCTGTTTCAATCTGAGCTCTGATAAATTACTCAAACGTCTCATAGAGAAGAGAAATGTACATACAAGGTGTGATCAAAAGATACGGTGAACGTTTAAATAAAAAAAATTATAGTAAAAGACACATTGCTATTAATCCTCCTCAAAATACTCCCCTTTGCTTCAAACACACTTATTCCATTTTACTAGCCACTTTCAGAAGCATTTCTGGAAGTCCTCTTTCGTGAGTGTCTTTACTTCATCCTCCATTATGACAATGCTCCATGTCACACATCGCTTCTGGTATATAGCAATTTCTGCCAAATAAAAACATGATGGTGGTGGCTGGCCGAGTGGCG